CAGAGCATCTGGCAACTCTGGGTTTTCAGATGCATGGCCCCAGCCAGGCCACACTGCATCAACACGTGTTATCTCTGCCATCTGCATAACCACAAATCATAATCAACCTACAAATGGAAGCAGATATTTTGCATTATATTTTACTGATCATACCATGACCCAAGTTCTTAATAAAAGGTTTCAATTTTTTTGTAATAATAGCACTAAAGTCCCTTAGGTGAAGGCAAGATCCCCATATCTTCAGATTCCTGGCTCTAAGAGACTTATGACATATAAAAGTAGCTCTACTTGACCCATAACTGGCTTTTGTTCCATAATTTAGTAGCTGCTGCAAGCAATACGGTTCTTAATCCCAAACAACAAAAGATACTCACTCACTTTCAGTAAAAGCAGATAATAATTAACGACACTGAACAAACCAATGTATACTCAAAAAGTTCCCTTTCTTTGTCGGGATTTTACTTCATTTCTATATGCCCACCAAATGTGAAAGAAAACTTTCGAAGTGCATGTAATTTGACAATGTGAGACACAAGACAAACCTCTACAATGAGCTGTACATTCGCATAATTATTGTTGTTTGTCCCTCCTGGAACTTCCACAAACTGATCAGCGATTCTAATGTGCTCCGCGTTGATTCTCATGTCTTCAGGAGTGGCCATGGCTACCAACAAGATTGCTTTTTCTGTGCCAAAAGTTTCATAAGCCCATGTCCGAACACTCCGTATGAACTTGACAGCTGCCATTCCATTGTTGGCAATCAAAATGCTATGGATTGGTCTCTTCCCTCCAAGGGCAGAGCAAAATTCATCTATTGCAGAGATTGTGGCAGGATTTCTGACCGAGACCACCCCATTCATGTACTCGTTTGCTCGCCAAATACCAGCCATAGTTGGCCTCCTTTGAGCTTCAGACATTCTGCAAGATCAAAAGAGTAAAGCCCTGGATTCTGAAATTTCAGTTAAACTATAAAAGTAACTTCTTTTTAGTTCTCGTTTAGTAACATTGCTAACAACCAGTTTTTTCTTTTTCCCATTAGTATAAGAATTCCCCATATGCGAGATCGAGCAGACATTTGCTACCACGAAAAAGGCACTACTTAAAAAGAAAATACAGAAGTGAAAAGAAAAAGAAGAATAATAATTTACAATCCATAAACGTCAGAAAAAGGGCAAAACTCGTATCGACGTATCATCACTGAACATTAAACAAGGCCACAAATCAAACAAATTGTGGAACACCCACGACGGTACAGCCATTCAAAAAGCCATTAAAATGTGCAATTACCCTTACCCAAAATGAATGACGGTTTAACCCCAAACGCCAATAGGCAGAAAACCCAATTCAGAAGAAAACGCAGAAAGAAGAATAGCAAACCTGAAACGAGTAGTTGATGAGGAAACTTGGGAGTTGGGATCGAACTGGGTTCAATTGGGTTTAAGGGCATCAAACATTCTCTTGTGAAACAATCAAGAAGAAGCAGTAGGAAGTTGAAGAAGCCTGTTGAATTGGTGTGAGAATGTAGTTGTAACGCGAACAGAGTGTTTTGAAATTAAATGTTTTAGAAGAAGAGAGGTAGGTTTGAGTTAGAGGAGTGTGGGGTCTTTGAGTTTTAACGGCTTTAAATGAGGACCAGCACGTGGTACCTGCCACTGCCATACCTCTCCTTCCTCCTCTTTTCTTTGGTGGTTAGTTTCCAGCTACCCCCTCCTCCTGTGTTCTTCCTTCATAATTTGTACTCAAATGGATTCCTTTTCTCTCCGAAGCTATTACTGCTATACACAATTCAAATACGAATTAAACCAAAATCCCTAGACTCAGTTTCGTTACCAATTAAAATAAGCAAGTGAAAATACGGGGAAAACGATGGACCCATGAAAAGATCGTAACTTTACTACAAATTTGAAGAATGATGACATAAGAAAGAATGTATTCAAATTCCAATATTTTGCTGTGGAAGGCGCTTTGGCGTGTCTTGATTGGAGAGTTGGGTGGTGTTGTCAACCAAACCTCCCCCTCCCTTATTAGATACATCATCCGTATGTATCCCCCATCTACCTTCTCAACATTTTTCTTTTGTTTGTTTGGATAGCTAGTCAATTAATACATTGTATTTTATTTACGTTTTAATTTTCAATCTAATAAAATGATAGTAAATAATATTTTATTAGTATATTTTGAATAAATTTTAAAAATTATTGAATCGGTGGTAGTAAATGACGGATAAATAATTATATTTTTCGTTATACTCTTATAAAATATGTTTAATTTCTGTTATACCCTCTTAAATAAATTATTTTTTTGAATATATTTTTAATTTTTATTTTTTAAAATAATTTTTTTATTACATATTTTTTATATATTATTTATTATTAAAAATAAATTAATAATTTGATTGTCATATCATCTTATTATTCAAATAAAACAGTTATAATCGATATATATTAATACACAATTATCTAAATATAAAATAATTTTATCATTGTTATCTTATGTTATTGTCGTCTAATTACTATATATTAATTAATTATTTCTAAATTTATTAAAGCAGGACTTTTGTATTTTACAAAAAAATATATATATATATATATAATCTTATCATTTTTCCTCCAAATTATTTTACTTTTTCTTTTTTGCTCATTCAGAGGTATTGAGTGAGATAGGATGTAGTAGTTGGAAATTTTGACTAGTAAAATGTGGAAGATGATAAATTTTTGCATGGGGGGGGGTTGGAAGTTAGGTGTTATCCTCCTCTCTCTCTCTCTCTCTATCTCTATCTCACTATATATTTAATTTATTAAATAGGGAAGCTTAGGTGTTACACATTATTGCATGTATAATTTAATTTCTTAAGCTAAAGTGCATGTTTTTAGTTTGTAAAGGGTTCATCATTGCTCTGCGGGATGATGGAGATGCACACATCATTGCTTCTGATGTTTCATGCATGTTTTGTTGTTATTTGTGAGACTATAAAGATTGCTCTAAAAGATTTTCACCAAGTACAATCATTAGAAAGGCTTGTGAGTTTTATAGAGGTGTATTGGTATTTGAAAATAACAGAAAATTTTAACATAATGCATACATACATGTTCAATACTAATTTGTGAAAATCACTTCAATTTTTCCAAGCTGTAATCATGTGTCATTTATGGACGTCCACCCCCAAACTTCAATTTCCTCCTCCCAACCCACCCACTTATTTATGTTCTTCTCTTTTCGAATTAATTCCATTCCCACTCACCCCAATTATTAATCACCGAATTTCTGGGTTAATTATTTAAAAACAAAACCAAACTATTTATTATTCATTTGGATCTGAACCCAAAGGTGTTGGCCAAACAAACCCATGGGCTTAAAGAACAAACATTTTTGGGCTTGTTTCATTATGGGCTTTTAGAATAAACAAATCCATGGTCTTTAAGAATTAACCAAATTTTGGGCTTCTAATTCTATTTTATATATATATATATATATCCGTGGGGGTGGAGGGGAACAAAAATTCATTGAAAAGCACGTGAGATATTATTATTATTATTATTTACTAGCAAATTTTAACAAAATCCAATTGCAATTACATTCATCTCAAAACAAAAAATAAAATTTCTCTCTAATCAAACCAACCTACACTAAAAAACAAATCCTACACTTAAATATAAGTGAATAAAACCAGAGTGAAACTAGTAAAAATGGCTACCAACGAAACAGACAACGTCCCACTCCCAGCTTTAGGCACTGCTGGACCTGGACTATCTCCTTCTTCCCCTGCCGGTGCTGGACTTGGGGGACTTGCTAAGCTTGGAGATGGAGAGTGCTCCGGTGGTGACTCTGGAGGATTCACTGCATTACCATACACATGATTGTAAATATTTATACATTCACATACATTTATATTAAATTATAAATCAGATCAAAAGCGTACCAGGGGATGGTTCAGGAGATAGAGACACTGATATGATATGTGAAATGGACAAAACAAATTGATTAAGCATATATATATATATATATATATATATATTAGAAAGAGAGAGAGAGAGAGAGAAGAGAGTTATTTATATACCGTTACAGCCTTGTACAGAAGGAGCAGAGACCTTGCAAGCAGATGGCAAAGTTGCTGCCTTGGTCATGTTAATACCCAGATCCGCACTGTTCTTGATGGATTGACATATGCACTTGGCATCTTCTTTCAAAACCATTTTAAATCCGGAGCAGCAATCCGACGTGGGTTTGGTGTCATTGCTTCCGACAGCCAAGAAAGAAAGACAATCGGCCATGTTTAATATGAGGATGGAACAGTCGGAAGATGGCGAAGGTGATGGGGTTTGATGGTGATGGCGGGCACCGGCCGAGAGCACAGCCAAGGCAGAGAAAACAAAGAGGGTAAACACAAGTCTGGCCATGTTTGTGGGTTGTTTGGTGTAGTTGAGATCAGATGATTTAATTTAAATATGGAAATGTGAGATAAAATGTTCGGTTTGAATTTCCCTAAGATATCTCATCATCCCTGTAAAATGGGATCAGTTAGTGTTTGATTTTTTCGTCTTGATCTTAATTTTTCAATTTACTTTCTCTTTGAAATTTTCTCGGAGACACTAACGATTTTCTTTCTATTCATTTTATCGTAATTGAATTTGTAAAAAGATACAAAAGAATCCATTCAAATATCAAATAGGAAGCCATTATCCAGCCCAAAGAATGAGTTTTGAATGAAGTAAAATGAAGCAAACATATATATATATATATATATATAAAGCGAAAAGAAAAAGTGTAGTGATTGAGGGAGGAAATGAGAGATGTAGCGATTGTGGTGTGTGGTCTATTCAAATTATCCACAGCCTGAAGTTCAATCATCAGTTTCGATGGGACCAAAATCGACCCAACCAGATAATTTATAGTTTTCTTATTTATTTATTTATATATTGTTCAGGGAAAGTTTTGGTGAAAAATAAATAGAAACCCCCCAAAAAAAAAAAAAAATTGAAAATGAAGTGTGACGCAGGGAATCGAACTGGGGAATGGAAGGACTCTTTAAAATGGGAAAGGCCACAAACATCCAAAACTCCACGGTAGCTGCATCTAGTAGAAAACAACATTATTACACATGAACACCATATACATCTATATATATATAAGAATAGATCTGAGATTTTCACTTCTTCCATTTTTTAATTTTCCAGAGAATAAAAATAATATTGTGTGGCTTTTTAAACTTAATTTCTGTTGCTTTTGTGGTGCACTACCACCACGATAAATATTATTTTTATATTTTATAATTATTATACATACATATATTAATTTCATCATGATTTATAACACTCTCAAAAGTCAAAAGTAAGTCAATTAAAATTACAAGATTCTTCATTTTGCATTAAACTAATGTCTTCTATCTCTTCTACTAAGGCAAATTATTACAAATGGAATCCTTTTCATTTTTTGACGTTTGATTTAATTTAATTTCACAACTAAAACGATATGTATATAATGATACCGACATCAAGTTAACGCCACAAGACAAGCGTGAAGTAATTTTTGTAGTGTGGTGTATGTTCCACATATATTTCTTATACAAGCGTGTGAAGTAATTTCTTAACTTATATCATCAATTACCTTAAAAAAAAAATACAAATTCAAGTACATATATGAATGTAGGAAATATTTGGTTGAGTTAATAAAACTTGTATTAGACTAATTTAGGTAATTAAAATGAAAATGAAAATTGAATTGGATTAGGCAGAAATTAGGATTTAGAAACCAAAATTGAGTCGCACACAATGCCCACTTGCCCAATTGTTCTTAATTTATTAAAATATAATCCACCAATGCTGCCTAGAACTGTTCATGTGGTACGTGAGAGTTTCTCAAAAGTTACTAATTTTGAATTTTAATCTTTTCAAAAATTGTACCGACTAATCATAGTATTGTTATAAGCCAAATATGCAAACAGATATAATATATATATATATATAATTAAATAAATGCATTATATCCCATGTAAAAGTAGGAATGTTTTTTTTTTTTTTTGAATTTAAAAAATATATATGTATATTTAGTCAAATGAATAAAAAAAAATAAAAATAAAATAGATAATTTGTATTTGATTTGTTGTTTTAAAGAAACAAAAAAAAAAAAAAAAAAAAAGGTAAAATCAATTTAATGGCTTAGAAAATGCCAAGGTTTTCTCCCAGTGAGAAACTGGATGGGACGGCATAATGTCAAAAGTATAAAACAAACAAATATTAATTACTGAATTATTATGAAGTTTTTATTATTTATTAAAAATAATTGTAATGGAAGCTACATTCAGAGGGAATCTCCTGTTGTATTTTATGAAATTAAATTTACAACTATAAAAATTAATTTCTTTTTTTTTTGCACAGAAATATAAATAAAGATCATCTGGGAATTAATTCTTATCCATAAATAAATTATTATTATTTTTTTTTTTTACAGTGGTACCGTAAGAAAGTGACGACGTTGGAATCTCTTCCAATTTTAATTAAGAAAAAACGAAAAGAAATTAAACTGGATGGCCAAAGTATAATGAAAATATTATATATAACAAGCTTCAACAAAACTTGCTCATTTTGCATACACCGGATAATTAGAGAATGTTTTACACTCACAGTCATAAATCTTCATTTATGGCTAACTTATCTCTACACGGCGGCAACAGTCTCCCCGTTGGCTGCGGCCCCTGTGCCTGAAGATCCGCCGCCTTCTTTCTTCGATGCTAATCCGCACTTCTCTTTTCTCTCGTCCTGGTTCATCTGTTGTTGCCTGCATTCTAGGCTACAAAACGCACTGTCACCCCTGGCATATACCACCACTTTTAGACTCACTTTTACGATACCATACATATTTATATATATAAACAATAACCCAAAAAAAAAAATTCTATATTCTTCTAAATATGTAGATGAATAATATGGTAGGATTCATTTTTTTAATTTTACGCATGAAACGAAAAGATGAATTGCAGTCAAACTTGGTTGGGAAGGAGCTTTAAGACAATAAATTCCTGCCGATGTATTATTATTCAACGAAACAAGATGAAGGAAAAAATGAACAAACAAAAAAGTAAACAGGCTTAAGTTACTTGAATTCTAATTAAAATTCCGATCAGAAAAGCTTATTCCCGCCGTTCGTGACCGGGAAAGAAGTCCGATATAAAAACATTTCAGTGGAAAAGGATCGGAAGGAAGGTGATATGTACAACTCCAAAAAGATCTGACAAGTCAACCAAGAGGAATTAAAGAAAATTAGGTGGCGAGGGGAGAGAGAATACCTATACATGTAAATATCGCGGCCGGGAACCAAGCGGCGTTTGCAGAGAGAGCAAGCTCTCAAGAAGTTAGGAGTCTCCAGGAAATCAGCCGAGTGTCTCCGGTTAGTCCTGGGCGAGAAACGTTGATCTAACCAATTATGTCCAGCACCATGGCTGTGTTGGCCACTAAGAGCACCAGTGACGGCCGGTTTTTGACGGGCGTCAAAGAGATTGTGTGGATCAGAAGGGCGTGAGTCAGTTGTGGAAGTGTTTAAATCCAAGGTTATCTCCGTCATGCTTGTAGTCCTCTTCATAATTGGTGCACGTGGCCTCTTCCCCAGCAACATCTTTTTCTGCTGGTTTTAATGCTGTAAGCCAAATCTTCAGATACAGATACAGAGAGAGAGAGAGAGAGAAGGAGAGAGGTGAAGGAGAAGTGAAAAATGGGAAGATAAAGAGGAGCCATAAACCGAGGAGTGAATCTGAACCGTTGATTTTTAATAACATTTGTTTAACAGTATTGGGAAGTCCACGTCACTAGCGTTATTGTGTTATATAATTAAAATTATTATGTTTCTAGTTTCTTTATTTGGCAGGTTGTTATTTTATTTTACTTTATTTTAAATAAAAAAAAAAATAATAATATTATTATTATTATTATTCAAGAGCTTTGGATACTCTCTCTCTGTATCTTTTAATGACAGCCTTGAATCCAGGTAGCCAATCAAAAATTTACCACACAAATATTAAATTAATACTTCAAGTTTATATATATATATTTTTTTTTTAATTTTGCTACTGCAATTTCATGAATCCATATTGATTTATGTAATTTCCTGCGCAGAATTGTGCGTATGTGATCCCTGAAAGTAAAAGTAAAAATAGAGGTATCAATCTGGTACGGCAACATATCCTCTTCTCTAAATTAATAATACGATGCAATTAAATTTTTGTATATATGAAAACTGGAAGGCTTAATTTAGACAAAATTATGAAATTAGAAGTTGGCCGTGCATATTTCCAACTACAAACTCATTGGATCAAATTATTTTTTGGAGTTACCCTCCCCTCCTTTTCCCACTTGCTCTCCATTATTTATACAGAACAACAACAACAAAAGAAATTATGAAAATAATAGAATCTATACACATGTAATTGTCTCCTAATTCATCTATTAAAACCCATGTGTTAATATTATCTAATGAGCTACAGAACCCTTATTACCCATTGAAGAAAAAAAAAAAAAAGAGAAAGGTTAATTAACTCTATTAATTACTATTACCATGAGTAAATTAATTTTAATGGGTTGTTAAAAGCGGTCGTCTCTGTCACACCGCTGAGAAGTTGAGAAGATTCACTCACTTTCACCCGGGTTTGGGTTTTTTTTTTTTTGTTCACCGCCAATGGATCCATGACAAAGTCACCCTGTAATTATTATGTCCGTTAATATGATGTGATGCCAATTATGCACACCTGTCTACGTACATACTTGCCTAAATATCTCTGTAATCACGTGATCTGAGATACTATTTGGGTTTTGGTCCAATTCATATTGTAAATGGCGAAAGAGATTAATGAGAAGCTTTTAGTTAATTAATTTATGTAGGTAGCTTGTGGGTGTCAAATTAATTGACACACACACAGCATCTGGAGTGGCACCATGGCCTGCTTTTGGTTGGCATTACTTAAGGTACAAAAGTGTCTATTAGCTAGCAATCAACATGTAAGTCAAAATAACATCATGTCTGATTCAAAGAGGTACAAGTCCCTCTACTCCTATGTAAATTATGGGTAGTAGTTAAATCCTCCTCTTCATGTTGTTGTTCTTGTATTATATTTTATAAAATGCTTGTAATTTACTGTTTGTATCCCAAGCCAATAAATTAATCAGTTCCCTCAATTTTAATGGATTCCGTTGATTCTCAATTTTACCTAGCCTCAAATTTACTTGTTTTTATTTTATTTTATTTTAATCATTAATATATGTAGCTGTTGGAGAAAAATAAAGAAGCATCTATGCAATTAATGGTTCAATGTGTGTACATACATCTAAAAAGAGTTGTAAAATTATCCGAACAAATATTTAATTTAACAATTTAATCACTTAGGAGCAGGCATAAGATTTTTCACAGTGTTCTTGATACCGGCAAGAAAGGCAGCAATGAAGTGGGAAGTTGAGAATCTGGCTAAGCCCTAGGTTACAAGATTAAATTAAGATAACACCAAAAGTAATACCCTTTTGTTTTTCCAAAAAGGAAATGGGTTAATAATTAATATTTGGGATTGTGGAGAATATGCTATGAGTAATTAAATAGGAAAATAATTCATATATATGTGTGTGTGTGTATAACTTCAACAGAGATTTGCTCCAAATGCAGTTCCTGATCCCTTGATCAACATGGCATTAATTCAGTTCAGGGAGCAAACAAGATCACACAAGATTTTGATTCCAGATAGGCTGTGCACAACTCGTAAATATTATATATTATTATTGCCTTCACTTTTTTAATTAGATTTGATCCATTTTTGATGAACTTGAAGCAAGAGAGAGAGAGTCACTTGCACTCTTTTCAAAGTACAGATTCTACCATTGCTGCATAAGTTTTTTCTTTTCCTTTATTTTATATAGCTTTGTTTTGTCCTAAAGTTTAATCACTTTATACACACACACGATGATCTCAGAGAGAATAAAGGTAACACAAAAAAGAAAGAATTAAGCCCCTCCCCCCCCACTTGTTTTATGATTCACATCGAGATAGATATTTAAGAGTTTAATTATTAGAGAAAAAAAGTGTTGTTGATAATGCTGTTTACTGTTTAATTTCTCTCTGTTTCTATGGACTGATCAATTAATATCATATAGACTGTATGCTCTCCAAGTCATTTTGATGTGTACAGAACCAAAAACAATATTATTCTCTCCAACTCCTTCGTAGAATTTGATTGCTCAGATCTGGAAAAAACAAGAGTCCACGACTCCCCTTTTCAAGAGAAGACTGACTCTTACCTCTCATCACTTTTGAATCATCTAATTATTTAATTTAGGAGAAGAAAGATTTTGGTGTTGGGAGTAACTTTTACTCTACCATTAATTACCTTCAATTAATTTTAATATATGATAAAATCCCCAACATATTAAATTAATCATATAGAGACAAGTAAAAGGCATCTTGAGTACTTTACATATAACTCTAATTAATGAATTAATCACTCATATCATATTTGCAGTTGAATTTCTGTAATTATATATATATATATACATATATCTCTAATAACTTAATGATGATGGGTTAGATAGAACAGAAGAGATGGTCCCATCTTACTTACTGAGTTAGAAACCAACAGCTCCACTTGAAGTTGAGATGTCCCATTTCCCTCTTTCTCTTCTTTTCTTAATAATTGCATTTCGCCCTACATTAATCTTCTAAACAAACGCCTTGCTTCCCACCCCAAGTATAATCTCCAATTCTCCAACTTGGGGAAACACATATTATTTCTAACTTGCTTCTCTCCACATATTAATATCATCACAAGCAAAATATCTCCTCTAAATCTGCTATCTATCTATCATCAACCACTAGTAAGAGCATTGTATATATATATATATATATATATATATATACATATCCCTTCCTTTCTAAATTTTATACGCAAACTTAAAAAATCCCCGAAACCCACTTTGGTTCTCTGGCAACTGCAGACTCTCTCCGTTTCACAATTTTATTGATATATTATATTTCATTATTCTTATGGCTCCCGATCATTTGATGTATGTAACTCAGGCTTATTGGACCTTATAATGGACTAGAGTAGGAACATAAATGAAAACACATCTCAACTAAATTTCAATTCCCAAGTTCCCAACAAAGAAACTTTGAGTACAGAGCAGTAAATTTTAAAGGTTGATATATCCATTCTTGATCATCCATTCCAGACTCCAATGGTTGTTTACATTCCTAAGAGTCCAGTAAGCCCATCCAAAAGTTGCTCTCCCATAAACTTCCAATTGGCCCTTGCCAAATCTTTGATAATCCTCTTTCCTTGCTCCTTGAACTTGCCACTCAGCCACCCATTCGCCTGAAATTTCATTTCATTCAATCAGTAACCCTAATGATTTTATCAAACGACAAAACAAGCTGTGTTTTTTCCTTATACCAACGAAAGTAAGAGGACCATTTGTTGTGGCAATATGATTCAACTCTGCAGTCCTGTTTGTACGAATGAAATCAATGTTTTGTTGGACAGTCATGTTGTCAAACACATCGGAGAAGAGATTATAGTAGTGGACATCAATGACAGTGCCCTTTAGCCCACTGGCTAGAGGGAACAGCTCTCTTGGCTCCGCCGTACCTAGCCGATTTGACATCACCACGTACGCGTCGGAGTGCTTACGAACCGCATCATATCCAGCCTTGTAGTATTTAGTGATTGTGTTGAGCGAGACACCTGGTGATAGCGGCTCATTGATTAGCTCCACAGCGTACAGGCTTGGGCTGTTTGCATACCTGAACATAATCTCCCATTATATAATGGAGTAAATTAATTAATCAAAGAAGAAGAATATAATGGATTAGTTTAATTATTAGTATTAATTACGTATGTACCTTGCGGTGAGGAATTCTATGATATCGACTGTTTGTTTTATGTTGTCATCTGTTGTTCCCCATTCCCGGGAGCCATCCCTGGAGGAACTGTGTTCAAAACCATTTTGCGATCCAGGCGCTGCATGGAGATCAATTATTACTTTAACTCCATATTTCCTGCACATGGGTATAATAATTTTACGAGTTGATCTTCACTCTTGCGATCAATCTGTATGTATACGTATGGAAAATATATGTACGCACTGTGCCCATAAGAAGGCGTTATCTAAGGCCTGCAAGGATCCGCCAACATAAGGGGGTGGGGGATTTGGGTCGCTTGCAATCCACCAGCCAACAGGTATTCTCACTGCATTAAGTCGAGTGGTTGAGATGAACTTAAAGTCGTCTTCTACTATGAATGTGTTCCAGTGCTCCTGATCACATATTTCAGAAAAACCAACCCAATTATACGCAAATAGACATGAATGTATAAAATTTTATTAGTCCTGCAGGAAATATAAAAAAAAAAAAAAAATGTAAAATAAAATCTAACGACACAAGATTTTACAACCTATACTTTCAATTTGGAACCCTATACATCATAATAAACTAAATCAAAGATATTCTTTTTTCTAAAAGTAAAAGAAACAAACAAATACTGCAAAAGTTTAGCGAATTTCCAATGATGGGTGTTTTTTTTTACCAAATCTGCAACTCTTTTATCTCCAATATGAACTGGTCTTTTATGCAACATATACGACATTAAGAAATATATGTCTATCCATACATCATGGTTGAGAAGAAATACTTTCTCACATTAAGAAACTTTACTCCTATTGAAATGATCAAATCAGTGTTTGGCTAAGAACTTTAAAACATATTATAAATAAATTTTATTTCTCATCAAATGAATCACTTCGTTAAATTTTAAATTTATTCCAAATTATGCATTTGCAAAAAGTAACTAGTATAATACATATCTTCAAAAAATTAAAATATACAATTAATAAATACTTTCAAGAACAATAAAAAAATAAATAATAGGGTAAAAATAACATATTCTCTTAAACATAACAAGGTATATACTAGAATAGATAATAAATATTTACTTCGATTTTAAGGTCAAAACTAAAATTTTCAACAAAAATATCGAATTTTTTTAAACTCCATTGTCAACATATTGACAAGAATCCAAAGCATTTATACAGCGTACATAAATGTCAATAATAACGTATATACAAAAAATATAATAAACTTTAATATTTAGAGATAGTAAAAATCTTTTTAATACCTTTAATTAACGGAAGACCAATGTTGAAAAAATGGATAAAATGATGATTTGGTTCTTGTATCATTTATTTTTGTGTCAATTAGTGCTTACTTCAATTTTTTGATTAAAATAGTTCTTATACTTTTTAAAAAAAATTTGACTTTAGCCTCTTCATATTAATAACTATTAATATTGTTACTTTAGTTACCACTTAATGCCTTTTGACTGATCTGAATACACGTTTAATACAACGTCATATATTACATGACATCTGACATAACAATAAAAAAATTTATATATTAACTTGTTTGAATTGATTTATATTTAAAAAAAAAAACGAATATATCATGAACAAAATTGATTGAAATGTCCACAAATAGTTTTACCTTGCACTTGGGTGATTAGAGTCGATTCAATTATGGAGAATATATGGAGTAGGCAAATTAAATGGTTGATTTGAAAGGGGATTGTACCATTGACAATAATAGGAATGAATTGATGAGGATGTAGCGGAATTCATGGGTTTAAATATAGAGTAAGAGGTGGTGGTAATCTTGATGTGTTTAGAGAAGAAGAAGAAAAAATGTTTGGGTTTGAGAGAACAGTAAGACAACTTCATAGTGGCCATCGATAACTTGGGGTAGGATCATAAATAAACTTCATAGTGGCCACATTAGAGGCTATTAGATCCAAGCGCTAGAGAAAGTTGAGTGTATGATTAGACAATATTAGCAATGACCAAACCTACGATTCTCACGTTAGGAGATCCACTAAATAATAGAAACACCACCAACATTTCTCGCTTGACTAAAAGAGGGACTCTAATCCCTTCGAAAAAACCCCAAAAACGTGAGTTCTTACCGATTTAAGTTCTAGTGATGACAATTACAATGAAACTTTATATGATGACAAAGAGGAAAACTTGGACACTCTCATGATTGATAGCTGAAGAGTGAAGGAACCTAAGAAGAAAAGTGTCATGAGAGGAATAAGACGGAGAAGAATGCTTAGCATTTAGGGATTTAGTGAATTAGGATTATAATTTTTTTTTAATCTTAAACTAATTTAGACAGGTACAGAATTTGTTAATATATTTGAATCAATAATTATATAATTTTTTTTATATTACATCAGATATGATACAGTATATGACATGACATTTAACTAATATTTAAAATAAAAAAATATATATATCATGTGTTAAATTATATTAACGTAGAGGGTATTAAATAGAAAATTTTTCAACAATATCAAAAAAATTTCAATAGTATGACAATTAATTTGATCAAATGAATAATTTGGACAAAAATAAAAAGTATAAAAACAAGGTTATTATTTTAACTTCAAAAAGTTTAATAAGCTGGAGGCAAATGGTGTTTAGTAGTAGGCGTTAAATGTTAGGTAACTCGAGAAATAAGCGGCCAACTGGTCAAAGCGAAAGGAGAAGTCAAATGCAAAAAGTGGGGGTTGACATTGTTGAATTGGATACATAGCAAAGACCGGCAATTGAGTTTGTGAAAGCTGACAACTGGATTTATCAGTGATGGGGAGCCTTGAAATTTCAACATGATTGAAAAGTAAACTATTTGTTAAAACAATGAAGATGAAATTATTTACATATATATCCTGCCTTACCTTCATAACTTGGACTGCTTTTTCTGGGCCATACCCATTAGTCACTTGAAATTCTCCCTCGCTATGTCCCACAGTTTTCATCACAAACACCGAGGGATCATCGTCCCCCCATCCATTACCACCACCGCCATAATCTGCTGTCACCGACTCCTCCGTCTTTGCCTGCATATATTTATGTTAGAAAATTCTACTACTTTCTCAGACATGAAAAACCAAAATCTAACACTTGCGTACATATATACAAGACCTGCAGGAAGAAGCCATTTGATGCTCTGATTCGGACCCGAGACTGGTCATTGTTGTCTCGCAGAATCTCAAAAATGTTGGAATGATGACCAGGCGTGTTGGAAACAGCAACAGCATCAACTCCATTCCCAGCGGTGTCTAGTCCCACGAATTGTTTGTTAAACACCCTAAAGTTAAACATGCTCGCATTGATTCTCCATAGCTAAATTACATAGTTTTGTTCCGTGAGTAGAAGTTTGTCTAATAATCAAATTATAAAAAAGAACCAACAAAAATGAACTGACTTTGAATGTTTCCCAGCCTGAGGCGGCTGTCCTATTGGCAACAATTATACTTCCTCCACCCGATTCAGCGCATACGTATTTCCCTGTCCTCAGTGACTTAAACTGAACTCCTTTACCGTCCTGTGCATCAAACAAAGACAAGACAGCCATTGGAGAAGAAGGAAAAGAAAAGAACAGAAGTTAAAAATTCCAGATAAGGTGTAAATTAATTTACCAACAAGTCTTTGTTGGGGATGCCATCGAAAAGGGAAGGTTTTATCCAGCCTTCTGTAACGAGCCAGCCTCCAAGATTTACTGCTTTAATTTTAAACCCACCATTTACCCTTCCATCACTTGTCCCTAAACAACACATCAATAAACATATGCTTATAACTACCACCCTTGTCCTTACGTACATGATTCCCCATTTTCAATCTTTCTTCTCTTCTGCTTTTTCAACTCCTATATCGTCTGCCACCCTCCATTTACGTGTGTGTATATATATATATATGTATTTGGCAAGGCAGCCGATTTGATCAACTCATCAAAGTCAATGTGTAGAAGCTTTGACCAATGTGAGTTTGGATCTTGCACATTAATATTTCTTTTAAAAAATAAATAAAAAATAAAAAAAAAGAAGACAAAATTAGAATCAAATCTTACAGCAGTGTTTTAAAAATCTTAGTAGACAACCAGAAATCCAAGATGCATGCTTCAACCTGATTCTGCAAATCCCAACAAAGAATTACTTTTACTTTGAGCTTTCACTTGGAGGGCGTGCTTCATTTTTGTATTCGCACAGGACAACACAATAGGAAAATGTAAATTAAAAAAATATAAAATATAGTTTCATTTTGAATAAGATTAAGCCAGCAATAGTAGACGTCATTTAGCTTTGAGAAGTGATTGAATTTATTGCACCAAGCAAACCATTTTGCATTTGCGTAAAGACGGAGTAACTCATACTACATGCAGAGGGGCTCCTGTTCTGTTTTGAAGTAGATTATACATATTTTAATTAAATATATATAAACTAATAAACAATCATAATTTAATATTTTGATTTTTAAAATTTATGTTAATGTTAAAATAAATTAAAGTTATCAATACGCTATAGCCCACCCACTCATTGTAAATTCAAATATTGCAGCCCAGTTTGTTTAGTGGGCCGTTGGCATTATTTTTAACCCATTCTGATCTAAATTTGTTGACTAATTACGAGTCACGCGCGTGATTTACGCAAAACGGTTGTCAGTCACTCCTCATCCTGCATCAATCCAGCGTATCTACTTTTGCTTTTTTTTTTTTTTACCTTCTCCATGTGATCACCGACAATCGCCAGCTGCACTTACCATCTTTACTTTTCCTTCCTCTATCCAATCAGAAACTGCCACGTGTCCTCCTCCGCCTTCATTCCCTGTCACGCGCAAAAAAAACTGCTTTACGCGCTATTCCATTTACTTCCTCAAATCTACTCTACTCTTTCCTTTATTATATCAATCACTCCATCGCTCCCAACCCCCTTTTCATTATTAACTTCTCTCTGCTTTCCCCTCTCCTTCATTTTCATCCCTCCCTCTCAGATCTCATCTGCTCAAACCCTCGGAAACAGGACAAGTAAACAATGGCCAAAGTATTGTTACTCATGGCTCTCTGCATCCTGCCTGCGCTTGTTACCGCAGCCCGCCCCGCCAGGAATCCTTACACCGTGGAGGGCCGTGTCTACTGTGATACCTGCCGCGCTGGCTTCGAGACTAACGCCGTCACCCCCATTCATGGTACCTTTTCTATCTCTATTGCTACTTCCTCTTCCCATTTACACACGCCTAGATCTAATTGTTTCTACTGCATTTTGCCTTATTCTTCCGTTCTTGCTTTTTCTTACTAGATCTGATTGTTTTGATTGGATTTGATCTCTGGATTTTGCACAACTATGTTACTGCACTCACTGTTATCTGTTGAGTAGATAAGACTCATTTGATAAGTGATGGATTTTGTTTATTTCAAAATAGTGGACGGAAAATGGTCCTCCCTCCTGTTTTCGATTATTATTTAGCGTTTACTCTTCTGCGGGTAGACGTCTCTCTCTCACATAAGAAGCCGGTGTAGTCAAATATCATCTACAATGTCCTCGTTGAGAACTGACGCTATGTTTCGAACAAATCAATTTCCACCACCCGTCTCAGAAAGAGATAATTTATTTGCAAATTCAGATTTTTATGTCTAAAATGTACAACTCCTTTCTTCCAAACATTAATTTTTTTTTTTTTTGTGAGGCGGAGATTGTTATTGGTAGTATATCTTAATGGATTTTGCGTATTTACTTGGCTGATTGCCATCCGGGTACGTGTTATCTATCTTCGACCGTGATTAGGTTTGAAATTATAAGACGTTTGTTAATATTGATTTTAATGGTTTACCCATAGGTGCCACTGTAAGAGTGGAGTGCCAAGACAGGAGAACAATGGAAGTGGTATACACCAAGGAGGGAAAGACTGATGCCTCTGGAACATACAAGATCAGAGTTGATGAAGACCACCAGGACGAGATTTGCGATGCAGTGCTTGTAAGGAGTTCCCAGATTAACTGCTCTGAGCCTTCAGCTGGTCGTGATCGTGCTCGTGTCGTCCTCACCAATAACAATGGGATTGTATCCAACACCCGTTATGCCAATGCTATGGGCTTTGACATTGACGAGGTCATGTCTGGCTGTACCCAGGTTCTGCAGCAATATCAGGAAGTCGATGATTAGAGCACAGTTTCTTTAATTTATCAACTTTTAATGTGTTTGATTTGTTGAGTATGGCTTCGACTATTCAATTGTCTGGCAATGATGATACATGGAGGGTGTGCTCTGTTCTTATTGTGTTTAGAATACAGCTAATTTTGTGTTTGTTACTGGAGATTATTATATAATAAATAAATATATATATTATATTATTGTTCAGTCACATCTGGAATTGTTGCCAAATGATTTGCCAAGTCTTTCTCATAAAAGAATCTATGGTGTGATGGGTTTCAGCCAAGCACCTCAATGAGTGACTTATGGGGTGGTTTCCAGGTCTCTTCCTCTATTCATGTTTCTGGTTGCGTTTCTGAAAATTATGATTGGCTTAGTTTGGTGATCTTGTGGGAGAAAATTGCAATCTACAACCTAATTATATCAGCTGATGGTGTTGATCTGCCATGAGTCAAGAGTGTGTGAAAACTAGGTTAAAGAAGGTAGAAGGGATTGGAGCTTGAAGTGTTGTTTGATGTTGGTGGCGGCGTGGTGGGCGACAGGGATGTAGAGCTGGAAATTCGCTAGACTTACACTTTCAAACTGACCAGCTCTCATTTGGAAATCGTATATTTGGTTTCATCAAAACATTAAACTAGAACAAAAATGATGACATAGTCCTCTACATACAACAATAAATACCAGATGTCCAATAAAAATACCCCTTCTTGATGCCAAACGGTAATAATTGAACTAACGGTTGAAGCAAACATGTACATATATTTAAGGGAATCGAATCTTTGGTAATGTCATAATACTAGACAAAAATTGTACTCTATTAGTGTTTTTAAATATTCGATTTGAAATAATTAAAATTAATTTGGGTCTAAATCAGTTATCAATGATTTTATGAGAACATAAGTTGCAACATTAGATGTTTGGTGGCCTAAAATCTATCATTTGTCAACTTTTCTAAACACTTAAAAATGGCAAGTAACAATTTTGAGTATTAACTAATAAATTTTATCGTTTCTTTTATTCTATATGATATCAGTTTAATGGATGACTGAGTTTTGAGTCTGAAGTTTAATAAGCATTTTGGAGGGCACAGTAAAAGACATTGATCAAAACTTAATCAACCACTTTTTTAAAATATTAAAATGTCGAACTGTTTTAATTTTATATTTCAAACCACTTCAAAAACTTTTCCATTCCATTCACCCAAAAATAAATAAATATATATATACACGTATCAAAATTTACCCCTTCAAAAACAATTAAATAATATCGATTTTTTCAAGGTGAGGGGGGGGAAAAAAAAAAAAAAAACATCAAAACTGCATTTTTTTCTCTTTTCCTTCTTTGTGTGTCTGTTAATTCCATCTTCTTCTCCGTCAACTCTTTTCTCGTAATAAACTCTCCACCTGTGTGTCTTCGTCTAATAACAGAGACAGAAAAGGCCCAACAAACAAAAAACAAAAACCAAAAAAAAAAAAAAAAAAAAAAGGCTCTGTCTGCTCATTTTCTCTCCCTCGTTTTTCTCGCTCTCGTCTATAAAATTTCTTCGCCTCCCGCACCCTCCCTTTTCCTCTCCATCTATCTCTTGCATTTCCCCATCTTTTCTCTCTGCCTTCGGATTTCTCTCTTCTTGTAAGTTCTGCTCCCCTCCCTCTTTCCTTTTTCTTCACTTCCTTTACCTACTTGTAGATTCATGTTTCATTCTAGTTTCAATATTCTCTTATCCCTTTCTTCCTCTGAAAATAGGAACTCTATGTGCTTCTATGCAAACCTTCTTTTCTTCTTCTTATGCTTGATGGATTTTTTAATTCGTCGCTGATGACTTATATTTCTGGCGATTGGAATTTCTTTTTTCCCACGGCTTCGACATGAATCTCAGCAAAGTGTTACTTACCATAACACCTTACCTGTTTTCTGATCCAATTTATTTTAACATCTCCTCCGACCTTTTTCTTTTGCTTTATTTCATCTTTTTTATGTGGTTACTCCCTGAAATCTTCTATTGCGATTTGGATTTTGATTTTTAAAAATTCTCTTTTTTCAAAAATAATAATAATAAATGCCTTAACGAATTGGATGATGACTGTCTAACAAGTTTCCCTTCTTTGATTATACACAAATGTACATATACAGTGTTATTCTCTTCCATAGATTGCGTATGATCTTTTCTTCTATTGCTCTAAAATCAATGTTGAAGTTGATGTTCATTTCGTGCTTAATGGAACTTGATTTGATTAACTCGTAAAACCTGAGGTATTCAGTTGGTGTTTATGATCTCTTCAATTTCCAGAATGGCTATTGCTGTATCTCACCACGCCGCTTCGACTGTCGACTCCCATCGACATCAACTTCTCAAAAGCTCCGGATGCCATCATGAGTTTGCCAATGTCTCACTAAGACTGACTTCAAAAATTCTCAAGATCAACATTGGACCGCTGAGTTATAGCTTCGTAAAAAGGAACTTGAGCACAATTCAAGCCTCGGTTTCTCAGACGTCAGTTTTCGATGCTGTTTCATCCCCCTCATGGAAAAGCACCAGTGATTCTTTAAAGAAACCAAGTAGGTCACTTCATTCTAATTGAGGAGTACACAAGTTGATGTTGGTTGGGACAGATAACAATTGTCTTGTTGATTATGACTTAGGCTATATTTGGAATTATTTCTATGTCACTTCTTTATCGTTTTGGAAGGAACTTCCGAGTTCTTTCTTAGTAATAAGTGTGAATTTTTCAAACGAATTCTACAAAGTATGCTTCTTGAGTAGTCAGTATAAACTAGGCTTGGGCATTTCAAAAGTAGTTTGTTTGTTCCTCTGTTACATAATTACAGTCAATTTGCAGCAGCTGAATGCCCAAATTGGTTCCAGCAAATACAAATTGTTTGGTATTACTTACTAGTCAAATTGCAATTTCATTTCCTTGTCCTTCCGTTAGATCTTCTAAGTTCTGTTCCCTTTTCAGGTGAAGCAGCTTTGATATTGGTTCGACATGGTGAGTCTTTGTGGAATGAGAAGAATCTCTTTACTGGTTGTGTTGATGTGCCACTAACCAAGAGAGGTGTGGAAGAGGCCATTGAAGCTGGTAAGAGAATCAGCAATATACCTGTCGACATGATATATACATCAGCCCTAATTCGTGCTCAGATGACAGCCATGCTTGCTATGACTCAACACCGACGAAAGAAGGTAATTCAGGGTATTTTTAAAGTTGCTGCAAAAATTTAACTCGGTTATTTCCTCCAGAACCTATTTGGTTAAGTATCTGAAACCAAATTTTTTGATATTTTATAGTTTGCTGAAGACTCCATGTTCTATCTGGGAATAGACTAGAACCAGTTTTCATGCCATGGATTATCAATAACTGTTTTTTCTCTTTATCTCCTAAAACTAACAGTCATGCTGCTGCCAGGTCCCTATCTTTATCCATAATGAGACCGAACAGGCCAAGGCATGGAGTCAAATTTTCAGTGAAGACACCAAAAAGCAATCTATTCCAGTCATAGCTGCTTGGCAGTTGAATGAAAGAATGTAAAGGTTCTATTGGCATCTTGATGTTTTTTCTTGCCAATTATCTCCCCTTCATTTTCATCCATGAATGATGGCTGTTCTTTTCTTAAAGGTATGGAGAACTACAGGGTCTCAATAAGCAAGAAACAGCGGAGAGATATGGGAAGGAGCAGGTTCATGAGTGGCGCCGGAGTTACAACATCCCTCCACCCAATGGTGAGAGTTTGGAAATGTGCGCTGAAAGAGCTGTTGCTTATTTTATGGATAATGTATGCCATTACTTGCTCTCCTGCATCTCTTCTTATTCATATTGGTCTATTGAGGTGTTCATTTGTACCTGCAATTAGTTGAGGGCAGTAGACATAATGTAATTAGTTAGTATCTGACTGCACAAATATGATTCTGCAGATTGAACCCCAGCTTCTTGCTGGAAAGAATGTACTAATTGCTGCGCATGGAAATTCATTGAGGTCCATCATTATGTATCTCGACAAACTTACTTCCCAGGAGGTGATAACCTTTTTTTTTCTTTTGGCATGTTTTACTCTGACATCCTACTTTGTGCATAAGAGAGAGAATTCCTTACTTTTCTTCCTCACAGGTAATTAGTTTGGAATTATCAACTGGAATACCTTTGCTTTACATATTCAAAGAAGGAAAATTCATAAGGAGGGGAAGTCCCGTTGGTCCTACAGAGGCTGGAGTTTATGCTTATACTAGGGTATGCAATCTTTGAATTTTTCATGAATTATATTTACATACTTGTGAATGCAAGACGTATGACATTTCAATTTTTGCAAATGTGATTGAGGGAGAAAATATGATAAGTAATCCTGAACTGGAAAAGGGAAATAATTTTTGCTTTACTTCTAGAACCCTTATGCTTCACTAGTTGTTGGGCAGGAAAAAGAAAAAAGAAAAGAAAAGCTTCCTCATTGGTTAAAGTTGTGTAGGAGTAAAGTTCTTTTTTGTTTTCGGTTTGTAAAAAATTCTGCTCCATTTTCATTCACCAGAGTTAACTGCAGTGTGCTTTGCCCTCCTTTCTTTACCTCATATATGGGCAGGGCAGGAGGGAGCTCATGGATAGGAGTTTTTGTTATTTGAGTTCATTCCCTAGAATGGTAATGTAATCAACGATACTGAGCTTATGCTTTCGAATTTTGGTGCAGCATTTGGCTCAGTACCGGCAGAAGTTGGATGAGATGATGCATTAGTATGTATTCCAATTACAGATAAGCTGAAGATCAACTTCAGCCACTGGTTTTCTTCTTTTACGTCCAGCTCCTAAAAATGTACCTGCATCTTTTTTTACCTCTTCAGAAGCCTACTTTACATTGCATTGGAGTCGTTTGGTATATTCAATTAGGTTACAAAAATGGAGATTAGTATAGCGCTTGTGCAGAAAACAACAGTTAAACACTTGGGTAGAGTTGTTGACCGGCAGATCCGAAAAGCTGGCAAGTGTTTTTTTTTTTTGTTTGGTTTTTGGTTAATAAAATGTAAGTCCCTGCTTATGCACTCTCTTTAGGTTAGGTTATATGCAAATCTGTGTGGGAGGAGGGATGTTAAATCCTGTAACTGAAAGACTGAAATATAGTAGCTTTTTCCCCCAATTCTGGACTTTCTTAATCTAATTTATACTGTTTTACAGAAGCTTTTTTTCGATTTGCTGTACTGGTAAAGGGTGGTTGTGCTTAAATCATTTTTGTTATGATAGATGGATGAATAATTAATAAATATATAAATTTATTTAAAGTTTATAAATTATAAAACACTCAAGTTGAATGGAAAGACAAATTAATAAACTTTTAAGTCAAGATGTAAATGAAAAATTTTATTCATAGATAAATTAATTTGTTTATGCTTTAGAATAAAACTACAAAGTTTTAAAGCATTTCATGAAATTAATTTCCCTAAACATATCTCTTTTTTTTAAAGAGAAAAAATAATAATAATAATAATAATAATAAGGGTTCCCAGAATATTCCTCATTTGTTAGTTGAGATCTTGTGAGAGGTGGTCTCGCTCGAGCATGTCGCCGCAAGTCGTCTTAATCCCTGGTTTGATTTAAACCTCACCCACTTTTAGTTTTTAAGCACCCAATTAACAACATCCATTAGTTTGGGACCTACATTCAAGTTTATATGATAGTTTGACTTTTCTTTTTCAGAGTTTTATTATATAAAAACTTATATTGCATAAAATCATTTTCGTACCCTCACCTAACCTATTTTATCTTTGTTGTCCTCATTCACGACATGGAAACTAAAATTCCAAACTACAAAGAGAAAGTAATAATGCGACCTCTTCTATCTTTTGCCATCTGGGAATTATAGGTTTTGCCCAATTTAAATTTCTTCAATAAGCTAGCATGAAGAGTTTATTGCTTAAATTGCAAGTGAAATCATTGACAATCACAACAATGGAGAGTAGATGTTTAACCTAGAAAATGCTACTTGGGTTGGATCCAGATGCAGAAACTAACTCCTCATTATTCATTGATGAGAGAGCAAAAACTGTCCACATGTGCTAATAATACAAGTAGAGACAACCTCCATCCATTTCAAGTTTCTTGCTTAAAATTTTGAAAGTCAGCAAGGCAACATGGGTACTGTCTATAACATATACTTCAACCACCATCTGGTCTTCATCATCTTAATTAATCTCCTGCGTTAGCATCATTCTTACCATTATCTGTAACTAAAGCATTCTCATCCTGGCCAATGGCTTTCGAGTTTACCCCACTAAGTGAGTTACTCTCAGTCTTCTCGCTATCGGAATCATCTAAATCTGAGTTTAGATTGAGAGAATCCAAACATGCAGCATCACTTACCAATGGTGGTTGTGTGGCTGCTGACTCACGGTCTCCCCTGGTCCAAAACAATGGCATTCTTTTGTCATCTTCCTTCATCTTCTCGGCGTATTTACTTATGTTGAAACCTGAACTATTATTTCCATCAAATGCTTCCTCCAATTGCTCCGTATCAAACAGATCCTCCACTATTTTCTTAGAGTTTGGATCATCAGAATAAACAAATTTTACTTTGTTGCAAGTCTTCGGCTCTAGAAAGGGTTTTACCAGCTGCAACAATATGTTTTCCTTGGGTTATAAGCAATTCAACAGAGCCACTCGCTAACAATACCATACAAAGCAAACCCCAGTGGATTAAAATCATAGATCAGCTATTATAGTAGAGGAAACCAGAATAAAAGAATCGCTACCCATGTTGCATCATTGTTTGAGCAAGCTAGTTCCAAATATTAAAAATCTAGGATTAACCAGGTTCCTCTCAGTATTTGGTCCAAAATCCTTGACCAGTAGCTACAAATTCATATATTCGTATGTAGCAGACTACAGTAGGTGGTGAATATTTTTGGATGGCTAGCAGCAGACGTCAAGTGAATGATAAATACTTTTGGATTGCCAGGATCAATTTAAGATATCTTCTTATATTCATGAAAAAACAAAAACACGAAACTGAGGAATGAAAAAAAGTTACCATCCAGAATGGTTCAAAGAACTTGGGTGGGTTGTATAGTATTGCCAAACCAAGGCGTTCTGGATAATGCTCTTGCAAAACATGGGCTGTTTCCTTCGTCAACTTTACCGATATATTTGATAAACTGAAACCTTGAAAATCAATCAACCACACCAACTGATCCTGATCTGGTGGGAGATTTAAAATAGCATTCTCCATGCAGTAAACCAAGTGCTTAATTTGTCCTTTATTTGACTTTGAGTTCTGCCAAAAAAAAAAATTGAAGCAAATTATACCAAAAATAAAAAAATCAATATTAAGAAAAAAACAAAAGAATAGTTTGCAGACATGAAAAAAGTTCATTAAGACAAATGGGTCGATGGTTGGTGGGGGAACTGAAGTAGTAATGAGAAATCAACTATTCTACAAGATACCATAACATGATTGTCCAATTCAATGTACTCATACAATATCTTTATAGATTCACACAGATGCAAGAGTAAGGAGAAATCATCATATCAAACCTGGCACCTAGGTCTCATGACAAGAACAATCCGGCCATGCCTGTCAGTAAAATTTAATCTATAAATTTTCCCAGTCTCAGCTTCATGGGCAATTTCCTCCTACATCAGAAACAAAATTAACTATAACTAAACAAAATTATCAGATTTATAATAAAATTTGTTAAATAAATAGGAAGTTAGCTGCTCAGTTGAGTGGCTGGTTGCAGTAGGATCCTTCTGGCCCTCTACTACCAAGTCTCTCCAACCAAATAAGGGAAAGTTGGGATCTATTTAGGGCAGTGGATGAACTCCATTTTAAGTTCATCGAAAGAGCATATGCCAAAATGCAAACACTAACCGAAGATCATCACACCAATAAATCAAAGAGCTTTAAGAGTTGGATACCCAGCGAATCTCTTCTGGTTTGTATTCATTTCTCCATTTTAATGTCTCTTTCAACATTTTAGTTGCCTTCTTGACATTCCCATTCCTTGCCCTTAAATATCTTGAAATTGAAGCATCAGAACAATAAATGGTCAACTTCTCAGGCAACGGGCCTAGCAACCTTCTTACCTCGTTTATCTGTAAAATAAAATGTTTAATCTGCTAATAGCTTTCCTCGTAAAGTTTGCGTGCAGTGAATTTCTAATTTACAAATTGAATAAAACATTTATGCTCACTAAGGTGGCATCCAAAGTACAGATACCTTTCCCTGATGGTCATCAGGGGTTAATGATTTCTCATTTCCATTTGAAGATGATTTTTTGACACCCGTGCTCATGGTTGAAAAGATGATGCTCTCAAAGTCAACAGTTGGCCCCTTCAAATGTTTAATATTATTTATCAATTCCAATATCAATATCTTTCCATCTCCAGCTTTCGCGCTAGAAGCATAGAAAAAGAATGCAAGTATAGGTCATGAAATTTTGTAGATTGGTCTGTGCCCAAAAAACACAAGCTAGTTCAAGAGGACAGTCAAAACAGAAATGCATTACATAAACTATTTCTGAAGCCGATTCTACTTTTGCAGAATATATGTCAAGATTTTTTTAGCAGCACAAAGTTCCAAATAGAACTTCCTTGAATTTTCAAGAAGCCATGGTGAAATCAGAGAATAGGACCAACTTTGTGGATAAGTTCATCGACTTAAAAGTTTTGACAAAGAGTTTTTGAGATATATTTACAGATAGGAGCCCAAAATATGAAATGCATTTGACGATAAAAGTTTGAGTTATCGGTAAAATTAAGCCTAGAATGGATTAGCCAGAGGAAATGTCACCACCTAATCAAGGCTAAAAATTATAATTAAAAAGCATAGAAAAATAAAGGGCGATCTCTTCCTTTCTCATTCTGATGCATCTATTGCAAGAGTAAGGTCCAAGCAATTCAAAAGCAGAAGCAAGTAGCAAAGCATAAAAAACGACTGTAGAAGCATTTGATGAAACCAAAAAATCACCCAAGAGATTAAAACCAAACACGTTTATTTCTTCAGCTGATTGGAAACAAGAAGCTCGAACTGAAACCTTATCGAAAATAAGTAGAAGAGAGAAGAAGAAGGCGGGAAGAGAAGTTTACCTGAGAAATTTCGGAGGAGGGATGGCAGAGAGAGGTGAAAAGGGAGATTTGGAGCGAGGTCAACAGTGAAGAAGAGACGGAGAAGAGTTTTGGTTGTTTAGACGGAAATATTTGTTTGGATACAGCGACAGAGAGAAGAAGAAACGGGGTCGCTTTCCTTCTCTCTGGTTTCAATTAAATTAAAATAAAATTGATTTTTAGGGTGTATTTATTTTTAAATAGCTACACGGACAACACGTGCGTGAGCCCCCTCTGATTCCTTCCTTGTATCTTAATAAATTATAAAAAGATTAAATCCATGAAATTAATTTACCAAAATAGTGAGAGATTCTAACACCAGACTTTGGGACGCAAACGTAAACGAGCTTAACTGAATTATTAATGTTTTAAATTCAGTTAAAATATAAATTAACACATTTATAAAGGCTAAAATTGGTGCGGGGCACGCGTTTAAACGGAAGTAACAGAAATCAATAGAAAATAATTGAGATTAATTAACACAAAATCAAAGTAGTGACTGATTTTTTTTTTTTTTTTTTACTAACTGGGTTTGATTAGGTTGAATGATTAAAGATTGTTTGCGATCAATTACAATGGTCCAAGTGAAATGAACTTACGATTTTGTTCAGAAATGATTAATAAAATAAAAAAGCAAACCGAGTTCTCAATATGTGGTTTTCACCAAAACAAATGCAGAGTTAAAGTTACTCATCAAGTCTTACACAGAGATGTTTAATGAATTCACCGGCACGTAATCACAACCTGATTGGCTTTATTATTACTACTTGACATCAAATAAAATATTATTTTAAATAATTACGTAAAGTACAAGCCACGAATTTGTTACACTACGCCCACGTGAATATGAATTTGGACAACTCAATATTTGAAGTCCTACAAAATAAAACTGTTGACCATTTATCAAAGACATGGTAATATATACCCATTTACATTCATTACCCATAAATAATATCATACACTTTTTACCCTCAAAATAAAGTTTGTAATGCATTATTTAGAGTAGGGTATGGGTATGCCAGTCACCCTCACTTCATAATTCTACCTACTGTTCTATTTTCTCACATAACTTCAAAGGCATTATCATTCTAGTATAAACTTTATCACAACACTTTCTTTTTCCTTTAATTGAGAAGAATGCAGCTGAAATTACATGTTTACCCGTGCAATTTCTGAGATACGCTAATATTTACACTTCACGTAAGCAGCCATACAGACAGACAGTGGAATCCGGCTTACCTCCTGCCTCTGTTTTTCCCTTGTCTGCACCAGCATCGGATGGCTCCTTCTACCTTTTTACCTTGTGACTCAGCAAACCATCACAACCATGACAAACCCAGGTATTAGATTCAACGTTATAACTAACCAGATTCTCTTTATTAATTCCTGACTTAACCTAGTTTGATTAATTAATTAATTATTATTCAACCACTAAACAAAAATAAGCTTGAGGAAAGCCCAAAGAGATGAAAATTCTTTCTTCTATCTGCAACTTCAGACATGAATATGAAACTTGACTCCACACCAAATAACCAAGCATTGAAGAAAAAACTCATTCTCATTAACCTTAAGGAACGCAGAAAAATTTCTATGATTCCATAGGAGATGATGTACATACAAGTGACTTACCACGACCAATACCTTATGGTATCAGAATTTTCTTGTACAAATCCTGTAATTTCCTTCTTTTCTATACAGAAATTTTGAGCCACCCGCTTGTCACGGCCAACTCATTCTACTCCAAAAAGAAAGGAAAAACAAAAAACTGAAGCTACAGAAACCAGTAATCCATCCAAGCCCTGCAGACCCTTCTTTCAAGTCATCCTAGTGCTTTTGCACGTTCAAATACTGTACATAATATTCTTCCATATGACCACCATATATGTGCACCGTCACTCTCCCCAGAACATGACAGATGAATAAGCTCAAAATTGGAAGAGAGAACAGGTCGAAGGGCAAGCATCTGAATTAAGCTATCCCCGACTATCCTTGATCAATTGAAGTCACAGAACATGGCAACTTCGAACAAGTTTCAATCGCAAGAGTCATGCCTCACATCTTAACAGGCAGAAAGCTTCTGGATGCCAAAATTTGGTTGCTGGTTTACATTTAAAATACAAATCAAAATGGGCTCTCAGGGGTGAATTTCCAATTATAAATTCCTCTACACAAACAAAATAAAAACCTCCATACCTTCAATGCCTGGAGACTGGTGGGACGGAGGTTTGGTTTCCCACAACCAACCCAAAAGCTTCTAACCTCCGTGCAACAAATCAACAAATCAACTCAATAAGTCCTTCATGTTGATCTTGATCTTCAGGAAAAGCACCAAGCTCGAACCACAATCTGATGGCCTTCTCATCCAAAACTCCTGTTCTTTTCCCCCTCTGTAATTTCATCATATGAATATGTGGAGAGAAGGGTAGGATACACTTGTTTATATTTGTGCACTTGGGCCTGCAACTGTCAGGAGCCAATGGCAAGGCCAAAACTTTTGGCACCAAGAACATAGGCTGAAGAAACTAACCGTACTGTGAAGCTTCACCAATAACCACGAAAAAACTGAAGGCTAAGAGTCTCTCTTTCCCAAAATCCTGGCAGAACTTTGTCTCTTCTGTATGCCATACTGCCAGGCATCTCTAGATTTATCTGCTGACTGACTAAAGTCATCCAAGGAATTATCCATTGGTGGTTTAAAGGGCCGATAACTCCCATTCCTAGAAATTATTGTCATACCCGATTTCTCATCATCTTCAGATGGCGTCCCCGACCTGGACTCCATATGCAAATCAAATGATCTGTTTCTAGGTCCACCTGATCTATAGCCTCTCATATTGGAAGGACCTTTACCTGAAGCATGAGAAGATACCTTTGGTATTGAAAACTCTTTGGGAAGGGAATCCATGTTCATAAAGCAGTTCCTGGCTTTGGCATCAGCAATTAATGCTGCCCAGTCATCAGAGCGAATCAAAGAGTTTGCATTCCCCATAACCTGTTGAACAAGAAACTCAGTACTAGAAAACAAACCAGAAAGGAAAAGATAGCTATCATTTGCATCTAATTTTTTAGTGAAATAGCATAAAACCAGGAAGGCAAAGACCCATACCCAGAGAGCCCTTCTAGCACGGGTAAGAGCAACATTCATTCGGCGGATATCTGCAACAAAGCCAACCCCATGGTTTGAAGCACGCACACAAGACATGATAATGACATCGCGCTCCTGACCTTGGAATGCATCTACGGTATTAATATAAAGATCCTTCAGTTCATCTTGACTTAATAAGTTTCCAAACTCATGCTTAAGGCATTTCAACTGCAGTTTGTACGGGGTAATTATACCAACAGAAACCTTCCCTGCGCCCATGGATTTCAAAGTTTTCTGAAGATGCATGTACAAGCCAACACAAAAGCGTGCTTCATCTACATTCTCATAAGAGACAGAACCGCCTCTGTGGGATTCCCGGCCATGACTAATGTCAAAGAAAGTGTAAGGTCTAAGCAAAGCATCCTTGTAGTACACCTCATCAGGTAAGTTAACAACACTTTCACTGTCAGTAAGGCGTCCTTGGTAGAAGTATCGTGAAGGAAAATCTCGGATTTGAGGATGCATCCTATATTGCACAGAGAGTAACATGGTGGGACATCCAGCTTGCTGAAACCTTTCAAAAAGGCTTCTGCTATATAACAATGTCCCAGCTGCCTTGCTAATAACTGTTGCAGGAAGCTGCTGAGGATCCCCAACAAGTACACATCTTGCTGCTCCAAGAGAGAGGGGAGGTAGAACTCCTACTTCACTAGCTTGAGCAGCCTCATCAATGACTACCATATCAAAACCATGAGTAAGACGAGAGAACAATTTGCGACCACTGCTTGAAACAGTGGTAAAAACAATCTCCGCCTCATTTGCAAAGCTTGCCTCAAGATTTCCACGTGCTTCATCCAAATTAAAATTATTACCAGTTCGGAACTTGCCTTCTACAATTAGAAGGCGAGACATCTCAACTAGAACTTTGTCCCTAGTTTCAACCACAGCAGCAAGGTTCTGCAGTAATGCGTCTCGATTCTGGTCCCTAGCAATGAGGACATCAGGGTCAACACCGACTGATCCTTGGGACCGTATTGCAGCAGCTGCAACACTAAGTTCTCTTTGAAGCCCAGCAATCTGCTGAGACAACACAGCCTCACGTGCTCTCAAATTGTGCATATGTCCTAAAATTTCTTCACGAGGCCTTGCTAAAAGCTGCTCTGTTCTTCTCTCCACAGAAACTGCCTGAGCAGCACGTGTCTGTGAATCGACCCCAACTCTTGCAACATCAGGCCGATAAACCTTCATCTCACCGTCAATAAAACCACGATCAAGAACACGTGCAAGAAGCTCATCAGTTGCAGCATTAGATGGAGCACACACCAGCATTCTAGGTTTGGGGCAAAGTTTTGGAAGAGTACGGAAAAGATTCTGGTCCATGTTCTGAAGGACTTCATCAATTGACCCCATGACAACATTATCTGAGTTGCTCTCACTAACTTGCTTATAGCTCTCAGGTGCTAGTTTCTTTAGCAAAGAAGTATAGTAGTGCTGGTATTGGACCAAATGGATAACATTTAGCATACCCCAGACAGTATGTGTCTTACCTGTCCCCGGAGGACCCTGTACAAGAGTGAAAGGCCAAGGATCTTGCTTCTTCATTGTTCCACTACTTGTACCAGCAGCAGTATGCATAGCAGCCCATTGGATTGCAGCAAGCTGAGGACCATTAAATGTTCTGTGCAAATGATCAATGAAACTTTGCGTGAAACATTCGGGCATAGCAGGGGTCTGCTGCTCATATTTTGGAAAGTGTTCTGGACTGGGCTTAAGGATTGCAGTTTGCATCTGTAAAAGGACAAGTCAACTGCCCATAAAATACGCGATGGTGCTAGAACAATAATTCGAGTTCTACAAAATGAAGAGCAGGTGCTACCTGTGAATTGAGACGAGAAAAATGCATGCAAGGCAACATACTCCCGCTGTGTTGTTGCAAGAGAACCCAGCACAGTTAGATGCCAAATGCTTTTAGGATGAAGTTTCCTCAGGATGTGATCATCATCAATCTTACTGGGAAACAAACAAAATACCAAGACTAAGAACATGTCTGAACATTTGCTAAAATTTCACAACGATTGAACATCCAGAAGAGATGAACATTTAAGTGATAACAAGATATTTACGAAGAATCAAGCTGTCTGAACCAACCTACTAGAATCATAAGCGTCACCAACATAAAAATGGAGGATTGCGCCAGGAGGATCACGTGTATCAACAGGTATATGTCTTCTCACAGTGCCAGCAACACGTCCAGTAACCTCAGGTTCCTCATCTAAAGAGAGATGAAGGTATCAGAATTAAAACAAAAAGTTCGATCACCCATATCATAAATTGGCCAGGCAAGAACCGTACTTATCAAACCTGGTTCCGAGACAGGACTAGAAAGAACTGCAACATCACCCTCCTTAAAATTCCACTTGCACTCATTGCCTGGAAGAACTATGACATCATACCATCCTAGTCCAAAATGAGAAAACTTTGCAGTTGGTTGACAAAAATAAAATAAATACTACAAAGACGGTTGGATCTAGAGGAGGATTGCATACATAACACATGAAAACATAAATGATAACTGTAAGAGTCAATTGTTCAAACAACTTAGTGCATTATCACAGTTTAATTTGGTGCCAACCAATGGCAGAGCCAGAGATTTCATGGATGGAGAGAGGAGGCAAAGCTCACTTGATATGTAAATCTTTTTTTTTTTTGAGATAACACTTGATATGGTAAATCTTAAGTACTCTTCTTTTTTCTTTCGTGCTAAAATATAATTGCATCTCAACTTACATAAATTTTTAGGTTTTCTACTTTTTATTTGTTTGTGTACTTTATTTATGCATAAAACTATAGCATATTTACATATATATATATATATGCAAATTTTTTTATGATTGTAAAAAAAAAATAAGAACTGATTGTGCCTGTTGCATTTTAAACAAGTTGACTATTATCATAAATAATATTAAAAATAAAAAGTAAGGGACAATAAGAGAGATTATATAAAATAATACTTAGAAACCTTAAGACTATTAGAGAAATATGAAGAAAAAATAAGGTGGACTAAGAGAGAAATAGCAAGAAAATTTTAACCTATGGTCAACAGTAATATGGTTAACAAGATCCTCTAATTCCAGATAGATTCAAGGAAAATACATAACAGTTGCTCAATAAACTAGCGATGACATGCATTCCCTCAAACAGCATATTTTCCTCCTAAAATGCCCTTCTCTCATGGTCTATCAGAACTATATAACAGCACTATATCATCCCTTCATTCCTTCAAAAGGAAACCTGTGTGTGATAGGTATATCAACAAACTAGAATATTTAGATAAGACAAAATTTCTTCAACGTATCGTATATGACAAGGATAGAAAGCAAAATCATGCTAATACCTCTTTCTCGCTTTTCAATGAACTTTATCCGAACCCTCACGTGTGCATTTGCTTCTGTCAACTCCTCCCAGGTGCTGTAAAGTTGTGCTCGGCATTCTTCAAAAAGCAAAGGCTCAAATACTCGGACATACTCCTCGACAGAATCAAACCGACCAGGGACACATTGGAGCTCTGTCTCCTCTGATGCACAATAAACGTGATATCACATTCAAATACAAGTATAAACACAAACAGACTCAAATAAACACAATAAGAACTCTACAAAAGCAAAGTTTGAAAAGAATAGACAAAATGTAGATCACCACAAAGTAACATAATTTGGCTAGTCACATAATGAATGTGACAAAACACAAATCGTATCACTGATGTGCTCATAACGAAAAGCAGCACAGACACATTGACCAAGCCCAAGCTTTTAATTGGTTACTTCCTATAAAGCCAAGCAAGTGGGGGAAAGGAATAAATAAATGAACTGAAAGTATGAATATAAATATCTTATGTTGACATAAACAAGAAATCTTAACCTAAGATATCTCCAACCAAAACAATAAAGGAATAAGTAATAACTATAGATCAAAGAGACAATGAACTATGCAAAAACTACTTGCCTTCTATAACCAATTGAAAAGCATCATGAAACCACAGGACAGAAATATGCTTACAGAAAACAAAATTTCAAGCCTGATAAGACAATTTCTGCCCACCAGTCTCTCCTGGCCCTAGGACACGAATGAGAGGAAGCAGGCAGCTTTAACTTTGAAAAATAACACAACAACCAGCTTACCCTCGACTCCAAAATTGATAGGAAAAGAAGGCACTAAAACACCAAAGCACATTGAGGCCCCTCAGATTTATACTACAAACAATTATACACATAGAAACTGAAAGATTAGAGATGAGGAAAAAGTGAAAAGAGATGCAAAATGATGACAAATAATCAATGTATTAACATAATCTAAGTCAAGCTTTCATAATATAAATCTCATCACCTTCCATGTCCTTTTGAGTGTTATGATTCCCCCATAGGGTGATAATTGGAGGGACACGGAGGATTGGCATGAGAAAGTTATAAAAGAATTTCCACTATGAGAATTCTTTTGGGTACACAAGAATTTCCACTTCAGAAGTACATGGAATGAATTACTCAATATGGATCCACAACAGCATTTTTTAAGGGAAAAAAGATTCAAAAGTCATAACAATTTTCATAGATATTGAAACTTATATTACTCCATACCTGGGTGATGCCAAAACTTTTCATTAGTCACCTCCCTTATAAGACGCTCAACTGATGTGTCCTGATATTGGTTACTGGCATTAGATGGCTTCTTGTTAGGAACAAGTTTCTTGTTTCCCAACTTTGAATCCATGGAACCTTGACTAATGAGGGAGGGCTTCCGATTAGAAAACTGTGAACTCTTAAGCTGCCTAGAATCTGTAGGCTGCTTCCATGAATTCTGTCTCGGAACAAATGGTCCAGGTACCTCCGTGGAACCATCCATATCACCATTGAGTCTCCTAGGCCTAGTTAGTATTCCAGACTGCATATCACCATTACAATCAGATTTAGGTTCACGGGATTCCATGGTAGTAAATACTTCACTACTGTGCACATCAACTTGTTTCTGATCTTTATTTAAGGATTGACCCTGCTTTTCTCCAACACGTTCAGAAGATGAAGGGACAGTACGAGCTTCTTTAACAGTACGTATGATGGGGGGTGGAATGTTCTGTCTTCTAGGCGCCGATGTTTTGATTTGGCCAGCTTGCTTGACATCTTCCAAATTAAGAAAGACAGTCTGCCTATTGCGTTTTTTTCCCAGCATTGCTTCTTTCTGCTGATCCATTTTCCTTTTCCCTATATTATTTGCAAATTTCAGGGCATGGCTTGCTTCAACACCTTTTGTTTCTCTTTGCTTAGGTACCAATTGAGTTTCCTCCTGAACATCCATGGGAACATCACCTTTAGCACCGCATTCCGAACTTTGCACACTGCTGCTATTCTGAAAGTTTGAGTTTTCATTTTTGTCCACTCCCAAGGGAATATGGTTGCTGTTTTCCGTAACCTTAATCCTCTCAACAGCAACACCAGAAGCACTGGGATCCACCACTTCATGCATCCCCTGCTCCTGTAAAACTTTACCTCTTTCAGGAATACTAACTTCTGCATGCACATCTGCCAAAACCTCAGCATCAGACCATTCCCCTTCTTCTCTTTCAACAGTTTGAGCATCCGTAGAAAGAGGAACAGATGAAGATGCCGCTTTTATTTCCTCATAAACACTCAACTTTAAGGGCAATGATGATACAAGCTTGGGAAGATCACCTTCCCTCTTCTGTTGAACACCCACTTCAGGTGAATGAGGCATTTTGGCCCTAACAAAGGGCTGAAATCCTGACACTAACGATGCATGTGAAAAGGCATGGTTATTTACTATCCCTTGGGCACCTGCTGATGTTGCAAACAACTCAGAAGGATGAGCATTAACTGACGGGTGTGCCTTCTGTGGCTGGAAGGAAATTGCATTCTCAGTCTCTTCATTATCCTCCACAGGGAGTTCATTGAGATCAAATAACGGTCTTCCTCGAGAGCCCATCTCATATGTAAATGCATACACACAAAACTCTCCTTCCAGGAAAATAGAATTGGTGCTATCTGTGTTTTCTTTTCAGCAAATGATACACATGACATGCCAAAAGAACAGGCATAAAAATTAAATCCGTAGGCAGTGTGCTCAAAAGAATTCTAAAACATAGCAGTTTCTGCAAACGAACAAGCTGCAAATAATTAATAAGCTTTTCAGTACATAGTTAGCAATGGTTAAAGCAGAAGAAAGTCATTGAATAGTCAGTTGCTTGCAAGATGATTCAATGGAAAATAAACCTTTAACTGCTAAACACTAAGACATGGAAGTCAAGAAATAGTCTGCATGACCAACCGCGAAGTGCATACTCCTAGCCAAACACATTTAACACATAATGTAATGCTTCCAACTTAAGGAAATGAGTTGAAAGTGGTTTCGTCAAATATAAAGCCATGAAAATTCAGATCATCAACAATGAGACCGAGGCCATTGCCATATTGTTCATCTTTTGGCCTTGGTTTGCAATTAGTACAGAATTTTGATGGCTCAAATCGACAATAACTATTCAATACCTCAAATTACATTGTCTCATATCAATGGCTAAGCAAACAAATCTCTTCTCCTTCTCTAACTATTTCATTATTATGGACAAAATGTAACCTCAATTGTATTTTAGGAAGCCAAAAGCCATAAAGATAAATACTATTGGGAGATCATATTTTCCTGTTTGTCTTCTAACTTATAGCATAATATAATCAGTTATTTATAGCTCATAGAACTATATGAAGCCTTGCTACGCACAATTCTTCATATTGAAAGAGCAAGAACGGTAAATCTGTATTCAGTTAATAATACACATCCATCTATCCACCATTAGATGAAGTTATTTAATTTGATTTAACAGAATTCAACAGTGAATAAACATACGGGTACTGTGCCCAAAAAGCACCATCATTGGACCAACAAACACAACATCATGCATATCCATGGAATTTAAGATTGGAATTGATGTTCTTCTTAAGGAACCACAACCAGACAGTCTCATGTACAAGAACAATCAAAATAACAAGAACGTAAGAGGAATCAATCTTGCATTACGCCCCATCTTATCAAGCACCTTCAACACATACAAGAAAGCGACAAGAAACCTAGCAAGAAGCAACCAAACTCAGGAAAAAAAAAAAAAAAAAAAAAGCATGAAGTGACCGACGTTTCCGCGAATCAGCCCAAAAGTCGACCACGATTAAGACGCACCAGTCTGCTTAATAAACCGACAAATCAACCCAGATCGAAACCCCTAATACATTAATAGCAATAACAATCTACAACCTACGCTAGTAAGCATCTAGGGTTCCAACTCTCACTAGTCCCCCTCTTTATCGCCTTAATTCCCGCATCTAATCTCTCCAAAAGACCAAACTATATTTGCAACAAATTAGGCGTTCTATCACAGCCCATGCTTCCCCAGATCAAACCAGATAATCTCCACAATTACCAAGAAAGTACATTAATCCACAAGTGAAACATATGATTTAGCATCCTTGAATCTCATTTCTGCACTCTGATCCTCAAGGCACAACCACAAGACCATTACTCTTCTAACAAGTTTCAAAAAATAAGATAATTTCAAAAAGAAATGATTAATTAAAAAACCGTATTTAAGGGAAAGAATTTTTTATATTTCTTTTACCTCTTAAGAGCTGCTTTGAATCTAGAGAGGGAGTAACGAGAGAGAGAGAGAGAGAGAGAGAGAGAGAGGCGCTCTTAATAGGGAGAGAGAGTGCGAAGAGAGCAAATATGAGGGAAGGAGAGGGTCTGGTAATGGGTTTATATAGGAAATAATGAGGCCGTTTCAGCGGCCGGTTTTTTCTCCGATCACCGTTAAATGACTCCGGGCTTATTAATAAATCACGAAATTTTTATTCTAAATCCGATTATAGCGATATTACCAAAAACTCCCTCTCTTTCCACATATCTACATATCTTGTCCCTCGTATGTTTTGGATTTGGTTGGGTGGATCAAACGGACAACTTTTTGGGATAACCACAGAGGGCAATTATGGAAGATTCAGGGTTGAACATTTATCTACTTTCTGTGTTTAAGGATCATAATAAATCATTTAAATTTTATTAATAAACTATGTAATAAACACGAGTATATGTATAGGTTGTTCTAAATTATTTATATCTAAGGCTTGTTAATTAAGAAAATAACTGGATTGAGTTTTATTTTGATCATTTTAAATCCACATACACACTCAAACAAGAAGATAACATATAATTTTTATTTTTATTTTTTAGAAACAATTTAATTGTATTCTAATATGGCATTTTTCTGACAATAACTTTTATTCAAAATTTAATATAATATATATTCATTCATTTTAGTTGATACGTGTATATAAAACAGTTGCATCATATACGGTACAATAATGCTAGTTAAAACTTAATAGGTTAATCAAAATTTAATTAAATAAAAATTTGTTGTTTTGAAAATATTTATAAAAATAAAAATAAAAAAACATTAAAACGAAAAATTTTATTATTTCATGCAGGACCACGACTTGATCAAGATGCTTACTAGATTAAATTAATGCAGATATATGCTTTAGTATACTAGTTTTAACGGATAATATTTTCACATTTTTATATTTATATTAAATTGCATATTACAATTATATCAATATACACTTTAAATTATTACAATAATATTAACTTTTCTTTTTTAATATATTTTGTGAAATTATACATAACTATTTAAAAAAATATTTTTTTTTTTTCTGAAAAGTTCTTTAAAATAATATTATTAAATTATAAAAATAAAAGAAGGAAAAAGGTGTGAGAACAATAAGAGCAATGAGTATATTGTGTGTTTTATTTTGATACTCTTAGTTTTATTTATTTATTTTTTAAATGAAATTTTATTAACTTTAACAAAAATTATTAATAAAACGTGTGATTTAATATATTATAATAGTTTACAGCACATATTGATACAACTAAAAAGGCACCGTATAATTTGGTAAAAGTGAAATACCATTTTTTATTTAATTATGAGTTTTATTTTTTTATATTAAATATAAATAATATTATTTGTTTGGAACGATACTTTTATTAATTAGTACAGAGTGTTTATGTAAGATTGACTAACGGTAAATTTAAAATAGTGTATCTATAATTTGATATATACATAATTCTCGTAATGTTGAATTGTCTCGTTAATTAGTCGGTGAATCAATAATTTTATTCTTATACATGCATGATTCATGAATTTTTTAAATTTTACATATTTAATTACAATAACAAGAATTACATATTTTTGTAATAGTAATAATGATAATTTCATTGACATTAATCATGATTACGTACACAGAGGCTATTTCTAGTGCAGTGTTTGCAAATGCAAAAAAGGAAAAATATGTGACCTATAATTACATGTTATTTATTTATTTATTTTGTAATTCACCAAAGAAATAAAGGGAAAAATTTACCACTAAACTTTAAAAATCAATGACTGTTGAAGTAGTATCTAATTCAGAAATCATTAACAATATAATTTAGCTACTAATAATTCTCATAATTGGTCGGTCATGCGTGAGATTGGTTACCTTTGATCTACTCATCATGGTCTTTATTTTTCATAATTTTCATCTAGTCATAAGGTTTATTTGTAATCTACATTACATAAAAATAAATAGAATTTAATCACATCCATTTCATATTCAAATTCTTGGCCATTTGCTTCCTTGATTATTGTTGCTCATTTTTTCTAAAATTTAAAATTAAGGGTACCGTAAAACGTTTCGATTATCTTTAACTGATAAAATATAATACGTTTATTTTATTAAAAAAAATGTAACAAATTTATTTTGATTAAAATTAAAACACTATGAACTGATTGGAATATTTGCATGAAATAAAGTTACTTGATATCAGGTCTTTACCGGATCTCAAGTCTCACACTCAACCACCAGCTGTAGCAGTGATGGAACTGTGCTGTAGTAATTTTGAGTTTGATTTTATTAATTTAATGAAATAAAATTAAAATCATATTATATTTTTTTAATTAGTTTCGTTTTTAATATATTACAATTTTATCATAACATATACGTAAACTTATAAATTATTACTAATTCGTAAGCAGAAAATAACTAATATTTACAAAATAATAAATTTGGACCAAAGCTTGTTTAAAATTCAGAAGAAACCTACACCTCCAGAGTTACTGTTATACATTTCACACGGTTACTTGGCTAAATAATTAAAATTATAATAACAATAACCTTAGGCTACAGTTAAAATAAATTCAAGAACTTTGGATATAATTTCATACGAAATTAAACATACAAATATTTAATAAAACATCACAAGTATTTAAAATTTGAATCTTGATGGGAAGGAAAGGAGAATGGAGATGATTATATCGGCAATTACTTTACATCGCGTAATTTATTCACACCTTTTTTTGTTTGGTTGTTGTGGGTGTTGGGGGTAACATAAGGCAAATTAAGGATACAAAATCCCATTAATTAGATGCCATATTTTTGCCACAACAATAATTATTTTTCAACTAAAACAGACAAATCACTCATAATTCATGACTGCTGAGTTGCTAAAATAAATAAAGAAATAAAAAAATAAGGCTTGTGATTAAACTATGACCGGAAATGTATATATGTTGTTTGGTGCAACCTGTCTTGGTTGGCAAACATTTA